GGCGGCGGCGGCTCGCGGCGAAAGGCGCTGGCGCTGCTGGAGGCGGCGCGCTCCCGCTACGAGAGCCTGCAGATCTCGGACGACGTGTTTGGAGAGTCGGGCCCGGACAGCAGCGGTCACCCCTTCTATAGCACCTCTGCCGACTCGCGCTCGTCCTCGGCCGCCTCTTCGGAAGACGAGGACGAGCCTCCCGGCCCCGCGCCCACGTCGACCCCCGCGCGGAACTCGCAGCCTCTTGGAGCCCCGGAGGCCGAACTGCAGGACGACGAGGACGGCGAGGGCTGGAGCCCGGCGCTGCGCGATCCCCCGACCCCTCGCTGCGAGGAGAGCGGTGGTAAGGATGTGCGGGACCCGGGCGGCGCGGGGAAGGGCGGCTCGGCTGTGCGCTGGCTCCAGATCGTCCGCTGGACCACTCAGCCGGTCTTTGGTTCCAGGGGACAAATGAGCTTGTGGTAGTGGGATGCTGCACAGCACAGAACAGAACCTGCCAGTGGCAGGTGAGTTCAAAACGGATGAGGCTGAGGCCAGGAAGGGCTTGGCCTTCAGTCGCTTCTGGACTTGACCCCTCTTCCTACATCCTGCACCAGAAAAACCTGTCACGCTTGTGAGGCCGCACTTTAGACTTTCCCTTGCTGGAGATCCTGGTAGCCTATCTTGGGTTTGAGAAGTCGATGGGTACTGGTGACCTCCTCCCCAAGTAGGTCTACCCAGAAGTTCATTTGTTCGGGGTGAAAAGGCTAGATCGAAATCTAGTGAGCATCTAGGGAGAAAAAAAACAACACACCACCCGCAGTGTCTTTTGGGGCTTGATTTTTTTCTCCTTGGGTTTCTAATCTAATCTTAGAAACTTTCTGTATTCATAGGATTTGAGATCTCTTAAGAGCTAAGGGAAGAGAGAAGGGACTCACTTCATGTTAAGATGATGTATGCTCTTCCTGCAGGTTATATTCTCAGATGCCCCTGATATTTGGAGGTCACTGGAGTCACGCTCAGGATACTCCAGTTCCTCTGTACTACATCCGTTTCTTTGAGTTTAACATGAGTCTTCAAACTGGGTGAAAGTAGTTCAGTAAGGTCTGACACCACCACAGAATAGGCCCAAATTTTAAAATATTGAGTGGCATGGGACAGCAAATAGGATAGGAAGTAGTATGTGTGGAAGCTATAGAATAGAAGAATCAGAAGAGGCTAGGGAGCACTTTCAAGGACCTGATATAGGAGATTGAATTAACTGTGTAGGGCTACACACATTCAAAGCAGCTTGATGGCTGCCATCTTTGAGCAGGGCATCATTGTTTCCCACTCTGTTATTCAGATTTGGTCTCTGTATAATGGGTGTACCATTGTTTCTGGCAGTGTTGATCTGTATTTTTTCCCCCCATGGTACAATTATCCTTTCCATTTATTTGAGTTTTACAGATTTGATCTGTGTAGTTTTGCTTCATTAGCTATGTCTGAACCAGTAAGAACCAGTTGGAAGCTCTAGTTTAACCAGCCTTCTCTAATGCTTTGTTTCATGTCAGGCTCTTTGAGGCACATTCACATCACATTACCATTGGTGGGAATGTGTACATCTGGTGCTTATGAAGGCCTAATGGCTCTCATGTCTTTCTCACATTACTGTTACACCAGCTGGCAACACAGAGGAAGGTATGACTAAGGGGCCCCTGACTCCTGCCTGGACTTGGTACTAGAAATCATACTGCTGCATCTAGTGGGCTGCCCTGAGTTTGTTCCAGGAACTGACTGGACTCAGCAGGGAGTGGTTGGCAGACCTCAGGCAGGATGCAGAGTCTGTGTCCTTAGGTGCATCTGGACTTGCAGAGCCCACCTAAGTGGCACAGTGCTTTTTGGGTGGATCGTCTTAAAAGCATGTTTGTATTGGTACTTTAGAGTTTTGGAATTTTTCAAAATTATGTTACTCTGGATAGACTCTACATTTTTCAGAATGTTGTATCTTCTCTACCCTGGATGAAGAGTGCCAGCTCATATTGATTCTTTATGAATAGTGCCAACCCAGTTCCCTGGTTTGCCAGACGTAGTGTTGTATGCGTCTGTGATCTAGTTTTTATTTCAGATTACCTGAGGTAAATCCTTCAAGTCTGCCTGGGAGGATATAGCAAGTCCCCTGTATTTCAGAGCAGAATAAGGAGACTGTGTTAGATAACCCAAGTTATGAGTAAGATACATGCATATAATGATGTGAGAGACTGAAGAGAATGAAAGCAACACTATGTTTGTTAGCTGTACATGTGAGAAATTCTGCAGCAGAACCAGCTAATGCAGCCACTGCAGTACTTACAGGTTTGAGGTGCAATATCATATGTCTTTTGATGTCAGGTTCAGATAGGCCTTCCAGGTCCACACAGTAGGACCTAAGAATCATAGCCAAGCCTTTGAATCACAGACATGAGTGGCTACTTGATGGTATTTGTGCTTAATCCTGATTTCCTGTTCTCTGTGGGAACTTGCTTTTTAAATCCAGCTCTAATTTTGAATTCCCTTTCCTTGTCACATCACCTTCTCCCTGAGTGAAAGAGGGGCTTGTTGAGCATGAATTCAAATACTTCTGAAATAAATATTACTTAAATGCTGAAAATAGATACAGAAGTGGAGCATTGCTAAGAACACTTGCTGGGGCTGAGGATGCTAGAAATTGAGCATTACCCTGCTAACAGAAAAGTTGGGCATTGGAACCCATCTTTCCCTCTGCAGAGGAAAGATGAAGCAGTTTCTTATCATAAATAATAAATATAACTTCAGAGCTTTGACAATGCGATGGGGCAGCTCTACTCTGTTCACTAGTATTGCTATGAGGGTGGTAGAGGTAGTAGTGTCATATGCAATAAGGGATTACAAAAAAAATGACCAAAAGTTGTATACCAGCCAATTTAATCATGAGGTCTCTCAAGGTTCAGTGTACTGGGTCAGATGAAGTACAGTGTATCACTAAGGTTAGTGTCACACTCTCCAGACCTCTTACAATACTAGACCACACAGTCCTTAATAATGTTTAATATCAATTTTTGTGAAAGAATAATATGTGATATGCAAAATTATAAATTGATAAAATGTGGTATTAGAGTATATGGATACAACAATCTTTAAAATACAATCTTTCTACATTGAATTATAGCATTATTAATAGTTGAGTTGTTCCAACCTTTAAAAATTTTTCTCATTCTTTTCCTTAAATGACTACATCATTCTCTAAGAAGTTATTAATATATCACAATCTTGTAGCTTAAAAAAAAAAAAGGGAAAAAATTTTACCAAATCAGTGATTATAAAGACATCGACAACTATGAAAACAACAGTGTTTACTTATGGATTCGAAGCATCATTATAAACTGCTAGTATTGACAGCTCTGGCCAGAGCACTTTGTGTTGTTAGGTGCCATCAAGTCTACTATAAACCACAGAGACTGTATGAACAACAAATCAGAACCTTGCCCTTATCCTTCAGTTTCCTCATGATCTCCACCGTGCTCTAACCAATTGTTGTACTCATTGTGTCAGTCCATCTCACTGAGTCTTCTTCCTCTTTTTCACTGACCTTTCTCAGAATGTTGTATTTTTCCAAAGACTGGCTCCTCTTGACAACATGCTCAAAGTATGTGAGACAGTTTCACCATCCTTGCCTCTGTGGAGCACCCTGGTTGCACTTCTTCAAAGCCATTTTTTATCCCAGAGCACATTGTTATTGTTGGTATGTGCCTTTGAGTTGGAACCAACTAATAGCTGACCCTCCAGCAGGTTTTCAGAGACAGTAAATTGCTATTACTCTTTCCTTTCTTATGAGATCCATCAGAAATTGGTGATAATGTCTCTAGTGCCGTTAGCGCTTCTAAACCCAGCTTTTATTTCTGGTAGTTCTCAATATGCTTGTTCAATATACTTGTCAATATACTTGTTCTAGTTGCTTTTCGATAATCTTCAGCAGGATTTTGCTTGTGAGTGATGTCAGTGATATTGTTTGATAATTTCCACGATCTGTCAGGTCACCTTTTCTTTGGAATGGGGATAAATGTGGATCTCTTTCACTCAGTTGGCGAGGTAGTTGTCCTCTAAATTTTATGGCACAAGCTGGTGAACGCATCCAGGGCAACATCTGTCTGTTGAAATATGTCAGTACTCCATCAATTCCTAGGGTTTTAATTTTTGTGAAGTCCTTCAGAGCGTCCTGAACTTCCTCCTTCATCACCATTGCCTTTTGATTCATATGTTCAGCATGCTCAGTTCCACAATCAATACTCTTGGCACCAGCAGTTAGGAAATCAAAAGACAAATTGCACTGCTGTCAGGGATCTCTCCAGAGTACTGAAAAGCAGCAATGTCAGTCAGACTAAGGTGATCCAGGCCATGGTCTTTGCAATTACTTGCTATGCATCAGAGAGCTGGACAATGACTAAGGATGACAGAAGAAGAATTGATTGATGTCTTTGAGTTGTGGGGCTGGAGAAGAGTCTTGAACATACCATGGACTGCCAACAAAACAAATAGGTCTGTCTTAGAGAGAGTGAAATCAAGTTTCTCCTTGGAGGCTAAGATTTTAAAACTCTGTCTCACATATTTTGGCCATGTGGCCAAGAAGGACCTGTCCTTAGAGAGGGACCGGTCCTTAGAGAAGAACAGCATGCTTGGAAGGGTGGTGGTACAGTACAGGAGAGGAAAACCCCAGATGAGATGGATTGGTATAGTAACTGGGGCAATGGGGGAAGGTGTGTCAGAGTCAGTGAGACTGGCTCAGGACAGGTTAGGCTTCAGAGCTGCTGTACATAGGGTTGCTGTGAGTTGCAGGTGACTCGGTGGCATACAACAACAACAAATTGCACAGGAGGAGACGGCCCATTCTTTTTTTGAACTGTCAAAGTGCAGTTTCTGTCAATCTTCCAGCAACATAGACTCCCCATGTGCAATAATTCAGTTTGGATCACGCTTATTACTGCTTTCAGTCTGTTAACATATTTCGCTGTGGACAGGGCCAGCTGTGGAAAGAGGAGAGCAAGAGGGTGGCATTTCATTTGCAATCAACCTACATAAGAAAAATACTTGTTACTGACAGTTTTTGCACATCACTATTCAGAGCATATTTTTCACACTAGCAGAAGATAGAAAAAACTTACATGCCCATAAACAGGTAAGTGGATAAACAAACTATACACAGTGGAATATTACATTGTTAAAGACTGTTACTTTATCTGCAAAAATCCTCATGACATGGATAAACCTGTAACACATTATGCTATGTGAAAACAGTCTATTAAAAAGGGCAAGTATCACTAATATTAAAAGTCAAGAAAAAGTTTACTCACAGAAAGAAACCTTTGAAAC